CCCCTCCTCCTCTCTCTCTCTCTCTCTTTGCTTTTGTTTTTTTCTCCTTAAAGGTCTGCCTGTCTGTTTGTCTGTCCTTCCGTCTGTGTGTCTGTGTGTGTTGTTCTCCTTCATCTCGTTGTTGTGTTTTCTCCGCTCACTCCCCTCTGCTGCCCACCCGCGGCGGCGGGCGCAAGCAAGCGAGGGAGCGAAGAAATACCGCGAAGCCGGCGGGCGGTGCAGCGCGCGAGGGGGCCGCCACGCAAAGCAGGCGGCGAAGCAGGACCGAAAGGGGTGGTGGTGGTGGCGGCGGCGGGGCGGGGGCCGGCGAGGGATGACGTCCGTCGCGGCGGCGACCGCCGCCAAGAAGTACAAAGTGGTGCTGCTCGGCGACAGCGGGGTGGGGAAGTCGTCGCTGGTGCAGCGCCTCGCGAAGGACGAGTGGAACGAGAACCAAAACTCAACCGTCGGCGCCTCCTTCTTCCGCTACTCGTGCCCCGTGGACGACGCCACCGTCAACTTCGACATCTGGGACACCGCGGGGCAGGAGCGCTACAAGAGCCTCGCCTCCATGTACTACCGCGGCGCCGCGGCCGCCCTCGTCGTCTACGAGCTGCCGCTCTACGAGACCTTCGAGCGGGCGAAGTACTGGGTGCGGGAGCTCGCTGCCAACTCGCCCGAGACGTTCATCACCCTCGTGGGCAACAAGAGCGACCTGGCGGACAGGCGCAGCGTGAGCGCGGAGGAGGCCGCGGCGTACGCGCGGGAGATGGGCCTCATGTTCGGCGAGGCGAGCGCCAAGGACGGCGCGGGGGTGCGGGAGGTGTTCGAGCGGGTGGCCCGTCAGCTGGTGGCCGCGAACAGCGAGAATATCGTGCGCGACGGCGGCGTGGTCGGGGGCCGCCAGCCAAGCGCAAAGTCGGGGCGAACGGGCTGCTGCAGCTAAAACGAGAGGAAAAGAAAAACGCAGTAAAATTAGAAAAAAAAAAAAAAAAACAAGGAGGAAGAGAAACGAAAACAAAAAAAAAACAAGAGACGGGCGCGTTCTTTCTTCGCTGTGCGTGTGTTTTTCTTCTTTGTTTGTGGGTCGTTGCTGCTGTCGCGTGTGGGGCTCGTCAAAAAAAGAAGGAGGGACTCGAGTAGGGCGCGTGTTTCTCTTGCCTGCGCATTCGCGGCCGTGACGACGGAGCCGCAGGCCACAGACAAGTTCTTTTTTTTTTTTTCTCGCGACTGTTTTTTCCCTTCTTCTTCTGCGTGCGTGAGCGGGTGGCTGGGAGGTTTGCCCCGCCGCCGCGCGGTTTTTCCCCTCGGCGGCCGGTAGCTTCACAGTTGCGCTGTGCGTGCGGGGCGAATGTCGGCGACCGGCGCGGTGGCGCTGCTCCGCACGGGCGCGGCCCTCTACGAGGCCGGCGAGTTGCCGCGCGCGCGGGAGCTCGCGGAGGCGGCGCTGCACGCCGCCGAGCCGCGCGACGACGCCTCCTTCGCCGATGCGCTGCTGCTCCTCTCGAACATTTACTGCGCCGCGGGGGACTTTGCGGAGGCGGAGCGGCTCGTCACGACGTGCTGCTGCTTCGTGGAGGAGCGCCTCGGCACCGCCCACCTCGGCGCCGCCACGGCGCGGCTGAACAGGGCGATTATTCTGCTGGAGCGCTACCGCCTGCGGGGCGGCGACGCGGCGGCGGCGGTGGGGCGCGCATACGACCTTCTGCAGGCGGCGGAGCGGCGGCTGGAGGACGACGTCGGGGGCGCGGCGCGGCTGCTGCTCGCGGAGGTGCTGCACAACAGCGGCGTCTGCTGCGAGCTCGTCGGGCGCTACACCGACGCCCTCACGGCGTACATGCGCTCCATGCAGATACGCGTGCGCTACAAGGACGCGGTCGGTGTGACCGACATGAAGCTCGCCCTCACGATGGAGCACGTGGCGATGTTGTACCGCTTGATGGGCGGGGCGAAGCTGCCGGGGGCGCTGCGGCTGATGGAGGTGGTGGCGGCAACGCGGCGGCGCCACATTGGCCCGCGGCACCCGCTCTACGCCTCGGCCCTGCTCTCGCAGGGGGTGATCGCGGCGGAGTTGGGCCACCAGCGCCGCGCCGCGGCGTTGCTGCGGAGCGCGTTGGAAATACGCACGCGGTTGTACGGCGCCGATGACCCACAGACGCGCTGCGTGGCGCAGCTGCTTGCGGAGACGGCGTAGCGCCTCACTAGACGCCTGACGGCTTCAGGCCAAACATACACATCGGTGCATGCACGCAGGGGCGCTGCCGAGAAGGCGCTGGAGAGGGCGAGCCGGCCTCCCCTACCGGCTTCCCTCCCTTTGCCTCAGCGCACTGCCTCCACGTCTCTCCTCCTCCCCCTCTCGTCTTCTCCCTGGCTGTGCGTGCCGCTGCAAAGAAGAAAAGATAGTGCCGCCATCGCCAACTGATACCGTTTGCCCGGTTTGACTGCCTTCGCGCCCCCCGCCTTTGCCTCCGCCGTAGGTGCTGACAGACGCGCCCGCTCCGTCTCGGGGCCTGCCTGCGTGTGTGTGTGTGTGTGTGGAGGGGAGAGAGCGCGAGGAGGGACGGTGGCCCGCGCTGCTGCTGCTGTTGTGATGCGCGACGGGCAAAAGTGCCGCCTAGACGTCTCGACGTGGGACGCGTCGCCGGCGAAGCAGAGCGCGGCGTGCGCGACCGTCGTTGGCGTCGTGGTGGGCGGGCGCCGGCACCTGGACGACCCCGGCCGTGTGCTCTACTACTTCCACACGCTGCGCGTCGAGCGCCCCGTTGGCGGGGCGGCGGCGGAGAAGACCGGCGGCCTCATGCATGCGCGGCGGGAGCGCCGGGAGGAGCTCTCCGTCGGGACGCACGCCCTCAACTCCGCCGGCGGCTTCAAGTACACCTTCGACGGCTGGTACGACGAGATATTTTTGTACAAAATCGAGGAGGAGGCGCTGGTGCCGGTGCAGCGGGAGTGGCGAACGGCGATGGAGAAGGACGACGCGCCGTGCGAGGTGCTCTACCTCTGCTACGCGACGCGGCCGTGGTTCCAGAGCCCCTTCGCCGCCCTGCAGTACATTCAGATGCCGGAGCGGCACCTCTGCTACTCCGTCGCGGTGTGCCACCGCTGCATCTCGCCGTTTGTCTCGCAGCGACACCTGCAGGAGCACCTCCGCGGCGGCTACTGCCGCTGCCGCCGTCCGCCCGGCACGCTGCTCTACGACGACACCGTCTGCGGCCGGCGCGTGTATTACGTGGACGGCGCCAAGCAGCTCCACTACGGTCGCTGCCTCTCGCTCCTCGGCAAGGCGTTTATCGAGAGCAAGGAGCTGGAGTGCGACGTGGACATCTGCGAGTTCTTCGTCGTCACCCTGCCGCGGGCCTCGCTGCCGTACGTCCTTGGCGAGATGGACGAGGCCGCCTTCCGGCGCGAGGCGACCCGCTTCGACGCGGCCGACTGGGACGGCGACGTCCTGGCGGGGTACTTCTCCCGCACCAAACACACCCCGGACCACTGCCTCGCCTGCGTCGTCACGCTGCCGATGTTCCAGCAGCAGGGCCTTGCCGCCTTCATGCTGGACGTCGCCTACCGCCTGACGGAGCTGCGCCAGCGCCTCTGCGGCTGCGAGGCGGCGTGCGGCCGGCGCGGCGGGGCCATCTCGCGCCCCTTCTCCCCGCACGGGCGGGCGCTGCTGCTGGCCTTCTGGCGGCGCCGCGTGACGGAGGCGCTGCTGCGAAGCGCCCCCGCCCAGCCGGCAGCTGCGGCCGACGACGCCCCCACCGCGCCGTTCAGCGGCCTCCACGCGCGGGTCATGGCGGGCGGTTTCTACATCCACGAGGATGACCTCCGCTTCTTCGTCTTCCATGACGAGCGCTGCTTTTACGCCCGCACGACGCCCGCCATCGCGGTCCCCGCGGCCTGCCCACGCCGCAGGGCGGCGGCAAGCGAGAGCGCCGACGGCGGCAGCGACGTCGACGGTGGCTCACTGGGCTTCGTGCCGCCGCCGTCGGAGTTCATTGGCTCCGTGCTGCTCTTCAAGCGCGACGTGGCGGAGGGGGAGCGGCGGCCGGGCGGCTTCGACCAGCGGTTTTGGTGCCGTGGGGCCGACGGGCGCCACCCGTACACCGCCGCTCTCTTCCACTACTGAGGCGGCGGGAGGAATTTCCTCCGGCGCCCCGCTTGCGCATGCGCCTGTGTTTTCGCCCCCGCTCCCCCGCTTGTTTCTTTCTTTCTTTCTTTCCTTCCTTCTCTCTCTGTGTGTGTTGGGCGTGTGTCTTGTCTGCACGCGTGTGCGGCAGGCTGACTGAGTGGATCTCTTTGCTTCTTCTCCTTCTTCTTTTCTCCATTTGCTTTTGCTGCCCCGTGTGTCTCCGCAATGGCGCGTGGCCGTCAACCACACACACACACACACACACACGCAGAGTGAGCTTCAGAGAAGGGAGGGAGATTGTCCCTGCACGGGCACTGAAAGAAGAGCTACATTAAGAAACACACACACTAAAGAGAAAACAAGAAGAAGGCGGCCAACGCAAGAGCAGCGAGCAGAGAGCGGAGAGAGAGAGAGGGAGAGCGCGCAAGATGTCTGAGGAAAACACGCTTAGCCTCTTCCTTGAGGCCTGCCGCAAGGAGGGTGTGAAGCAGCCGAACACGACGCTGATGGAGTTCTTCCGCAGCAACCCCACGCCCAGCGAGATCGAGGAGATTGACCTCAGCCACAACTACATCGGCAACCGCGGCATCCTCGCCGTGCTGAGCCTCATTGAGAGCCTGCCGGCGTTCCGCTTCCTCAACTGCTCGAACCAGAAGCTGTACAACACGGACCTCAGCGAGGACAGCGTTAGGGGGAACGCCACGGTGGACCGCATTGTGGAGGTGTTCAAGGTGCACCCCACCGCGAACGCGCTCGACATCAGCAACAACCCCATCTCCAACTACGCCGGCCGCAAGCTGCTCGTCCTCGCGCAGGTCAACCACCGCATCTGCCGTATTGAGCTCAGCGAGACCCGCGTGGACTTTGAGCTGCGCAAGCGCATCATGCAGCAGTGCGAGAAGAACACCATCGCACTCTGGGAGGCGCAGGCGACGGACGGGCCGGAGGTGGAGTGCGCCTTCGGCGAGGGCCCCGTCTGGGTGCCGCGGCAGGTCCCGGCCGACCTGACGGCGATTGGGGGCGGCAAGAACCGGCGCCGCACCGTCCGCAGCGAGGGGATCGACCCGGAGAAGGCGAAGCTGTTCAAGCCCCCGTACTTCGAGAAGAGCGAGGAGGAGATGAACCTCATCGTGCGGCTCCTCACCCACAACGTCCTCTTCTCCTTCCTCAACACGAAGGACCTCAAGGCGGTGGCGGGGGCGATGCAGCGCGCCACCTTCAAGTACGACGACTGCATCATGGAGGTGGGGCAGACGACGTGCAACAAGCTCTACATCATCCAGTCCGGCAACGCCGACGTCATCAAGGAGGGGCAGAAGGTGTACCTCAAGACGGAGGGCACGGCGGTAGGGGAGCTCGAGCTGATGTACGACACGCCGGCGGTCGCCACCGTGAAGGTCTGCACCGACGGCCTCATCGCCTGGGTCCTTGACCGCGACACGTACCGCAACATGGTGATGGGCACCGCCATTCGCCGCCGCGAGACGTACATCCAGTTCCTTACGAACGTGCCCTTCCTCGGCGGCCTGGACAGCTACGAGAAGCTGCAGCTCGCCGACGCCCTCAGCAGCGACGAGTTCAACCCCGGCGACTACATCATCCACTACGACGAGGAGGGGGAGTGGCTGTACATTATCATGGAGGGCACCGTGGAGGTGATTGGCCGCGACGCGGAGGGGAACCCGACCAACGTCTGCGAGTTCACGCAGGGCGACCACATCGGCGAGTTGGAGTTCCTCAACCACCACCGCACCGTCGCCGACGTCGTCGCCACCTCGCACGTCATCACGGCGAAGCTGAACCGCCGCCACTTTGAGATGTGCCTGGGGCCCGTCATCGACGTCCTCAAGCGCTGCACCGACGACCCCAAGTACGAGTACTACCAGCACGTGCTCAAGAGCGGCGCGACGCAGCCGTCGCACGCGGAGGATTAGTAACCGCAAAGGGAGTAGAGAACGGAGAAAAAAAAAGAAGAAGACGAACGAAAGAGAGAGCGAAAGAAAGAATAAGGAGAGGCCCAGTTGCTATAACTCCATCGTCGCCGTCGTCGAGCCACCCGGAATACAGCGCGGGGGCGGGCATATATATAAATATATATATATATATATATATGTCTTTTTCTGTCTGTGTGTGCGTGTTGCGGTGACGCGGGAAGAAGAAGGGGCGGAGTGCGGGGATGGTTTTATGTACGAAGGGACAAAACTCAAGGGCAACTGAGAGGTGGAGGAGGGCCGGCGAGGGGGAGTGCGGGGGGGACAACGTGGGAGGAAGGCAGTGACTGACTGCCGGCGGCGATGAAAGTTCCGCGCGTAACCGACGTTGTGTCTGCGTCTGTGCAGCGGCGCATCGCACACGCGTGTGCATGTATATATTATATATGTGTATATACACACACGTATGTGTGTAATGCATTGTATGTAAGTCTACGCCTCTGCGTCTGCCTGCCTCGCCTCTGCTTTACTCCTCCTCCTCCTTCTTCTTCTTTCTTCCCCGCCGTTTTTTTTTGTTCCTTCTCTCTTTGGCCCCGCACCGTGCGAGTTTTTCCGTTTCCTTTTTTTTTATATATTTGGCGTCTCGGCGCCTCCCGGGTGGTGCCCGCCGCGGTGTGGGCAGCCGCCGCCGCCGCCGCCGCCGCCGCCCCCCCCGAGAGCCGGTGTACTTTGCGCGTGTGTGGGCGTTTTTTGTTCTTTTTTTTTTATTGCGGGCGTGTGGGCGGCGCGTGTAAACTTCCGGAGGC